CCTAATATACAGCTGATATGCACGAGTCCCTAATATACAGCTGATATGCATGAGTTCCTAATAAGAAATATGTACTTTATGAAATATGCTCAGCTTGAATTGTTGTGTGCCAGGTCTCACGTCACGTCCTTCCCCTTCAAGTACTGTGTATTTTTCTGCTCTGGGAGAAGCTAGTGGAGTTTCCCAGACTCCTGGTGTCCTGGACACAGAGGTGATTCCAATGCAGTATGGCATATGCAATGATGGTTGTCTGGGCTGAGTCACATCCAGAGAGGACAGTGGGGGATGAGGTTTGTGGAAGAAGGGAGCTTGAAGCCAAGGACAAGTCCCACAGTATAACCAAGGTTTTTCCCAAGTAGAAAGAATAAGGGAGGGAAGGATCAGAGTGGAAGAGATCAGATCAGGGTTAGGGGAATAGTCTGCTGTGGGCAAAAGGCAAGGAGGCTGGAGGAAGTGAGGGCCAGACTACAGTGTGAGAGAAACTGCCAACCCAGTGTCAGCATGGAGAGCCCTCTATTAGATGCATGCGCCTTTGAAGAAAGCTCACTATGGTCACAGTATAGAGCAGCGATTCTCAACTTGAGGATTGTGACCCTTGAGGATTGGGTCTCAACGGGGGTTGGATATCAGATATTCCGAATATCAAATGTTTATGTTATACTTCACGACAGTAATAAAATTACAGTTACATAATGGCAACAAAGTAATTTTATGGTTGGTGGTCTCACCATAACATGATGAACTATATTAAAGTGTCACAGTGTTCGGGAGGCTGGAAACCACTGATATATAAGGTATCTTGTAGGTAGGTAGACTCAGAACCATGTGGGCCAGTTGCTACTTGATTCAGGCGAGAAAGAGTGTTCTCCAAGCAGTGCCAAGAGGGACATGAAAGGGAAAGAGAAGATGGGAGTTGATTTGACCTTAGAAACAATGCCATAGGCTGGACATGGTGGCTCACTCCTGTCATCTCAGCACTGAGGAAACTGACACAGGGAGACCTCCTGGGCCTGTGTTCTCTCCCCCCCCCCCCACGCCCCCTCTCTCTCTCTTTAAAAAAAGGAGCAGTAGGAGGCTGGCAAGATGGCTGTGTGGTAAAGAGCACTTGTTGCTCTTGCAGAGGGCCCAGGTCTGATCCCAGCATCCACATGGTGGCTCACAACCACTCATAACCCCAGTTCCAGTTCCTGGGATCCTACAGACAGGCAAAACATTCATTCACATAAAATAAGTCGAAAAAACTTTTTTGAACTGTTGCTTAAAAAGAAAAAAATTTTTTTCAGGTCCCTGGGGAGCAGACATAGATCTTCCTCCTGCTGGGGGGCACATTTAAATGTTGACAAAGTGTGAGGTGTCATCTGGGGGTATGCATATCCCCCTTCCTGTGATTGCTTGCTGTTTATTTCTTGTCATTTGAAGCTAAGTTTCTATTGTCAAAAACTGCCTGTGCAGTC